AACTCTGCCTATCAAATAAATAAAGCTTTAAAAATGAAAAATGGGCCGGCGCCGCGGCTCACTTGGCTAATCCTCCGCCTGCGGCACTGGCACCCCTGGTTCTAATCCGGGTTGCTCCTCTTCCAGTCCAGCTCTCTGCTGTGGCCCGGGAAGGCAGTGGAGGATGGCCCAAGTGCTTGGGCCCTGCACCTGCATGGGAGACCAGGAGGAAGCACCTGGCTCCTGGCTTCGGATTGGCGCCGGCTACAGCAGCCATTTAGGGGGTGAACCAACGGAAAAAGGAAGACCTTTGTCTCTCTGTCAAAAAAAAAAAAAAAAGAAAAATGAAGAAAGAAATCTTCAACCAAAAGGGAAACATAAAACACTGTGGCAGAGAGGAAATAAAGCGTAGATGACTTAGGAACGGATGGACAGAGTCACTCTCTGGTCAAGCTGTGTGCCCTCCAACCCCTCCCTTTTCAGGCGGGAATAGGAACCGTCACTCCACCAGACTGCTGGAGGCGTGTGCACATAACCTACCAAATGAGTGTGGTGTTTTCCTATCTGCACACCAGATCACCTGGGGAGCTTTCAATACTGAGCATCCCAGATGTACTCAATGAGAATGTCCAGGGTGGGGCCTGGAAGTTCAAAGCAAGCATGTTCTGTGCAGTGAAAAGCACTTGCCACATCTGCTTTTACTAATGCATTGTTAGGATCTACTACATATGGAACAGGGGTTCAACACATACGAGGATGAGTAACAAATGAAACGTCGGCGAGTTTTCCAATCTTCATATTTCAAAACATAGATTACACTATGTTTAAAATGACTTTTAAAAAAAGACTGCATGATGCTCACATAAGAAAAATCACCTTAGCAAAAGTAATACTCAGTTGTACTTGATACAAAGGACTGGAATCCATTTCTATCTGAATGCACCTCATGATCCACTTTCCATCATAGGCCATAAATCAAGGTACAATATACTAAATTTAATTAAACTCCAAGGTAATCTAGTTTATCTCACTAAAAAAACAACGCATCAAAATTGAATTACAGGCAATTTAGAATTCTCTCTACTAGCCCCTCCATAGCAACTACAATTTCGGTACAAAGATTGACTCCTACTTCCTGTCACGCAGAACATATTATCTTCTTTCAGTGGTTCCTTGTAGGACAATTCAAAACCATAACTGCTACACACCAGCTTCAGCGTGCAGTATTTGCTCTTTTAATAAAACTCACATATACGACCAAAATGCCTACAGGGACACTTCCCTAGAGAATACGATTTCAGGGGATGATCCATTTCTTATTGTTTATTTGCACTTTTTTTTTTAACTTTTCACAAAGAATATGTGCCACCTATATACATAAAATAATACGTGCCACCTTTTATATACATAAAATATACAAAAGCCTCAGAATTCAGTAAAGGTAAAGAACAAAGAATTTTGGTAAGTTGTCTTATGCTTCTCCAAAATCCAAACAACATCAGATAAGAATCATATTTGGGAAAAAAGTTAACCTATCGTGTACTACCGCCAATAAACTCTTTGGTTTTAAAAAAAAATCACATTTTCAAATAACATAAAATACACTAAGTAGTCATCTGACAAACTGGAATACAGATTTAATTCAAGCGTTGTGTCAGTGTTAAATTTCTTTAAGGTGACAACTGTCTGAGATTTTGTGAGAGAATACCTTGGGTTCCTAGGAAACACACTCTTGAGTTTACTCGGGATAAAGGGGAGGAAGTCCCCCACTAACTCTCAAGTACTTCAGCAAAAAAACCCCACAATAATGATAACAGAATACATGATAAAGCAAGCTGAGTAGGGGAGCTGTTAACAATCGCTGACTCTGGGTAAAGGGTACAAGAGTCGTCTTTACAATGCTTGTGGTTTTTAAGCTTGAAGTTATTTCAAGACAAAAAAATTTAATTGAATAAAGTAACAAAAAATTAACATACTCAAAATTGTCCCAACAAGATCATGCTAGATCAACTTCATGTAAGACTTTATTAGGAAACATAATAGTCAAAACTTGTGCTAATAAAAACATATGCACAATCAACTTAAAGCAAGCCTTTAAATCAGCACTATCCAACTGAAACAGAATGTAAGCCACACACCTGGTATTAAATTTTCTCGTAGCCACCCTTAAAAAAATAGATGAAATTGATTTTAGCACAACCTACTTAGCCTAATGTCTGAAATACTGTCATTTCAATGGAATCAATACAAAAGTCACCATATTACAAATACACAAACTCATCAAAAGCTGATGTGTATTTCACGCTAACGGTACATCTCAATTCAGAAGCTAAATTTTCAGAGGAAATACTTGATCCGCATTTAGATTTCATAAAATGTGCAGTTAAAACGGGAGAGTCACAAAACCAAGTTGCTTATAGTTAAAAGATTTCTAATTGCTGGATCAATTTTTAGATGTAAACTCAATTAAAAACACGTAAGATGAAAAATTCATCTCTCAGCCACACTGCAAACTCAATGGCCACATGTGACTAGACTTAAGGCACAGTCCAGCTTCGAATGCAAATGCAGCCAGTGCCCTCCCCAAAAGAAGGAATTGAGAAAATGAGTCACTGTTTATGAAATCGAGGGTTTTTAGCAGTTAAGAAGAAATAACGATGGATTCCTTAACAGATGCACCACCAATGGATCTCCCGAAAATAGTCAGAAACTCCCACCCTGCCTTCTAGAAGGACCACACAAAGCCTTCTCTCCTGCGCCTTGGTTGTCGTATTTTAATGTGGGTTCCAGTGTCCTGAAAATTGGCACCCAAGTGATCCGCTTACTTTCAAATGTGGCCGAATGAACTCAAGTTCTGGCTCTCAGATTCGCAAGCATCCATTGACAGGGTCCAGGGATTCCACGCAAATCTGCGCCGTCCTGATTCTCAGACGCAGCACGCACACACTGAGAACTTATCTCGGGTTCCAGAGAGGAAGTGACCCCACCAACAGAGGTGGGCCTTGTTCTTCTGAACAGGTGCAAGAGATTAACTCAGTCAACACCAAGCAACACTAAAAATTCGCCAATCAATAACCCTGTGCCAAGCAACTTGATCAGGGATTTGGCCAGAATCCCTTTGGCTAATCTCAATCAGGGCCTATCCACAGACATCCTGATTCAGGCCATTCTTGTCTAAATTAAGGCTTCTGCCGCAATCGTCTGACGGCAGATAAACTAAAGTCAAATTCTGCACCTGTGAATAAAATTCTGACAGCTTGATAAAAAGAAAGCCCGCCTGAAAGAGAATTTTATTAGGTGTAGGAAAAAAAAAATACACTGACAAAGAACAGGAGTTACCACAACAGCATTTAACATCCACCTCGCAGAAACGGTCCATTCCTACTTTCTGTTCCCCTTTCCAACGGAACAGTGTTCCGGCTAACAATCAGATCCAGTCCGCATCTAATTCTGGTCCTGGCTTCTCCCGCAGCGCGAGCCCCGCAGAGTTGGCGTGCTGATTAAACACTGCTGACAGCTGGGAACCCTTTCTTCGGAATTCGCCGGGGCCTGCAGGGACCCATTCCACAAGGATCTGCAGCCAGGCTCTGACACCTCGGCCCACGGAAGCCCCGTCCTCCACAGAAAACCCGTGTTCCCCTCCTCCCGGCCCACTCCCCCAGCCCGTTCTCAGGCGACATCTTACTGGGGATCACAGATGGACGGCTCAACCCTGGTGTGCAGACTAAAACCATAATTTAAGAGCCTGTGTGTATAAACAATTCCTACGGAAGGCTTAGCTCCTTTTTTTTTTTCCTCCTCTCCGAGTCTGCACAGAGCTCCAAGCAGGATGAATACGAGGTTTTCGGCTGCTTCCTCAGAATTTTTCTCTTTCCTTGTGTAGATCTATTTTAGCCGTGGAAATGAATGCAACCTCCTGTGGAAGCGAATGCATTCTTCGGATTGTTTTGTATTTTTATTTTTTTAATTATTATTAGTAACCTCTCTCAATGCCTTTTTAGTCAAATCCAGTCTCGGGTCTCCCTCCCTCTCTCAGTGAGCTAAATAACGCAGAAAACCAATTGTAGTTTGTAAAGCGGCGACGGGGATAAGAATTTACGGCAGAAACACACATTCCGGTGCCACGGCTCAAGCGCTCTTCCGAGAGGGGCGTAAAAAGAAAGCCCCACGATCCCCCAGCGACAGACGGGGCCCCACAGGGCGGCAGGGCGACCCCGGCCCCTCTCGTCTCTCCCAGCCGCCTCAGCTCCCGCCAAGCGCCCCGGGGCCGCACAAAGCTGCGCGCGGGGTTACCCCCGGGGCCCGACCACCGAGATCTTGACGCCCCGAAAGTACGACGTGGAGGAGTTTCTACAACGGATTCATGGGTACCTTCGCCCTCTGGGCCGAAACCCCCGAAAAAGCGGGCAGTGGGCACCCCCCGCCTCAGAGGGGTCTTCCCGACTTTCCTCCACTCGGGCGAAGAGCTGGATTCAGCGTGCCCGCCGCGGCCCGATGCCAGCACCCGGAGCGGAGCAGCCGGCACCCCGCTCCCCGGAGCCGCGTCCCCACGGGCAAGGGCACCTGCTCGGCCGAGCCTGCGCCCGCCGCCGCACCAGGCAAGCGAGCGGGGTCTGCGCGCCTGCCGCCCCCCGCACCGAGGTCCGAGCCGAGCAGGGCCCCCGGCAGCGGCGGGGCCGGCAGGACGCACGGGAGGCGCTCGCACCGTCCCGGGGGAGGGCTGGGCGGGCGGCGGCACGACGCGGGGGTCCCCCGGAGGATGTGGCGGCGCCGCGGCAAGGGGGCTGGGGCGGCCCGCCGCCCCCCGCAGCCCCGACGCCTTTCATTTGGCCTCTGCGGCGGCGGCGGCGGCCCGACCTCCAGCGCTAAGTACTGCGCCAAGCAGGGGCGGGCGGGGGAGGACGCGCCAGCCCCGCCGCAGCGCCGAACCCCCGCGCCGCGCCCCCAGCCCCGCCGCCCGCCCCCAAGGCCGCGCAGCCCGGGAGCGCGACACGGCGCTTGGGCGCTCGCCCGGTCCCTACCTCGATATAGCCGGCTAACGCCGCGGCGGGCGCCGTGAGCCCGAGCAACAGCAGGATGAGGAGCCTGCCCGTGGCCGCGGCGGTCGCGGTGGCCGCCATCCCTCGTCCGGGTGCTCCGGCTCTAGGCTCTCAAGCTGAAACGCACGGACCACACTGCTCGAGCCACCGCGACCCAGAAGCATCTGAGCCCCGTTCGCCGCCGCCCCGGGGGTTTTACCCCGACCGGAACTGACTTCAACAGACCACGCCCTCTCCCGCAGCGCCCAATGGCGGCCCTCAGAACCTCCCAAGGCACCGCCCCCTGTTGCGCCCACACCCAATCAAGGCACGGAACAGCCCGCGCCAGGCCCCGCCCCCAGCCTGCTCTCCCCGCCCCCGTGTAGACCCTGTGGCCGGGAGGCGCGCGGGTGTGCGCGGGGTGGGTCGGGGGCCGCAACTCGGCGGGGGTGGGACTCCCTCGGGCCTTGGGCACCCTGCGCGCCTGGATCGCGCTGCGCTGCCGGGGCGGCCTGCAGCCTCCCGCTGAGAGCTCGCTGCTCTGCCGTGATCCCCCGCCCCTGCGGGGTATTTTTTAGATTCCTGCGGGTACCGCCCTCTTTGGTTCTGGAAATGGGTTTTGGCACGAACGGGATGAATCGTCGGGAGTCCTGGGGTGCCGAAGGCCGCCCCGCAAGGCGCGGGGAAGGACTCAGCAAGGCAGCCCGCCTCCACCCGCGAGCCCCGGTGCAGGGCGCGCCCTTAGCGCGCGCGCGCTGCTGCCACCCCCCACCCCGCCTCCGACAGCGGCCGCGACCCCTGGTCCTTAGGCCTCATCCCTGCCCTGCTTTCCCAGGGGCGCCCCAGACCCTTGGGGACCACGCCGACCTCAGAGACCAGGCCCGCTTCCTTGCGGGGTCTAAGAAAAGATGTTGCTTTCTTGTTCGCGTCGCTGGCAGGAGACCTGCTCTCCTCTGCCTTCGTCCTCCACGGCGTTTCCATTTCCCTGGGAAAGCCTTCTACTGGCCCATTTCACGACCGGCACCGCGAGGGCTCTGCTGGCTTTGTGTCCTCTAAGTGCTCTGTGATTTATGTACCACCTCCTGCGGAGACCTGGACCAAGTCCCCTTAGCTTCAAGTATTTCAATGTAGAGCGGGGTCCCCACTCCCAGGAAACTCACAGAAAGGCAGACAACCATCCACAAAGCGGACAGAGCCTGGACTTTGCGGCTTTGTTCTGCGCGGCTCCCTGCGTGCCCAGTTCCCTGTTGCTAAACTGCCTCTGCCCCAGTCCCCAAAGACAACCGGCGCCTTTCCCTTTCGTTAGGGAGCCCTGCCCTCCTGTTCCCGCGCCTGCGGGATCCTCTCTGATGTCTGCCGGCTGGAAGCCTGTTCACTCTTTCTCTGCTCAACTGGATGCTCAGAGGGCTGCTTCCCGCTGCGACTTTAGCTCCCCTAGTTACCAGGGGCCTTCAAAAAGTTCGTGGAAATGCAAATCATGAAAACAGTATGCATGCGTTTCAAAAACAAATGTGTTCCAAAATAAATTTATCTTTGAGTTTCCTGTTTCTGCAAACTCGCTGAAGCACCCTCATCGTACCTCTCTTGGGCCACTGGCGAGACTTGGGTGGGAGTGGTGACCTCAGTATATGAATAGCCAGTGTTACTGAACCCAGTTATCCCGGGTGCTGGTTCCGGTCTGGAACTGCCATAAATCTGGCTCTTGCTAGGGGCTGGATTTTGTCCCCCTAGCCCTCAGATCCCTCTGTTGAAATCCTCAACACCAGTGTGATGGTATTTGTGAATGAGCCTTTGGGGTGTGATTAGATCTAGATGGGGAGTCTCATGGTGGGACTAGTGCCCTTACCAAAAAAAGACACCAGAAATCTTGCTCCCTCCCCACTCTCCCCACCTTTCTTTCAGTCTGTTCCTTCCAGGTAAGCTCAGAACCCAATCAACACCCTGCACGACCTCCAGAACTGGGACAGAGGAATTCCTGTCATTGAAGGTCTGTTAACAGCTGTGTAATAAAGAGAAAGTTTCTTCACCCCTTGGACTCTTTTTTTTTTTTTTTTTTTTTTTTTTTCACAGGCAGTGTTAGACAGTGAAAGAGAGACAGAGAGAAAGGTCTTCCTTCCACTGGTTCACCCCCCAAATGGCCGCCAAGGCCAGCGCTGCGCCAATCCGAAGCCAGCAGCCAGGCGCTTCCTCCAGGTCTCCCATGGGGTGCAGGGCCCAAGCACTTGGGCCATCCTCCACTGCCTTCCCGGGCCACAGCAGAGAGCTGGACTGGAAGAGGAGCAACCGGGACTAGAACCGGCCCCCATAGGGGCTGCCGGTGCCGCAGGTGGAGGATTAACCAAGTGAGCCATGGCGCCGCCCCCCCCCCCCCCCGCGCGCTCTTTGTTGTTGTTTTTCTTTGTCAAGAGTGATGTTAAAAATCTGTCTTGGTCTACCAGTTTCTGGGATTCTGTGAAATATGACTGTTCCACAAGGAAAAGCATGAAGAATCGTAAATACAGGAGCAGAAGGCAGGTAAAGCAACCTGTTACAAAGTGGGAGTTGTTGAGTACAGTATTGTGGTGCAGTGGAATAAGCTGCCTTTTGCAAAGCCGGCATTCCGTATGCACACCAATTCCAGTCCCACTGCCACTCCACTTTCAATCCAGCTCCCTGCTAATGTGCCTGAGAAAGCAGTGGAAAAATGACCAACTGCTTGTGCCCCTGCTACCCACATAGGAGACCCGGATGGAGTTCCAGGCTCCTGGCATTAGCCTGGCCCAACCATGGCCATTGTGGCCATAAGGGGAGTGAATCAGCAGATGGAAGATCTCTGTCTCTCCCTCTCTGTCATTCTGCCTTTCAAATAAGTGCATACTTTTTTATTTCTTAAAGTACAGTGTTTATGAAAGAATGATCAAGTGACTGCATAAGTTTCAGTTCTGTGTAAAACCTTGTGAAAGGCCCTCTTAGGCCTGTTTTCTCACCCACAATATCAGGAACTTGAACTTGGGGGATGCTCAATTTATTAGAATGTCAGTGTTCACAGAAAAATGGGTGAAATTATCAGTTCAGAGCACTGGCCTGGATCTTCCTGCTTTGGGGACTGCATGTTCAAGACTGACATATGAGGCCAGCGCTGTAGCATAGCGGGTAAGACCACCGCCTGCAGTGCCGGCATCCCAGATGGGCACCGATTCGAGTCTTGGCTGCTCCACTTCCTATCCAGCTCTCTACTGTGGCCTGGGAAAACAGAAGATGGTCCAAGTCCTTGGGCCCCTGCACCAGCGTGGGAGACCTGGAAGAAGCTCCTGGCTCCTGGCTTTGGATCAGCGCAGCTTTGGCCGTTGTGGCCAATTGGGGAGTGAACCATCAGATGGAAGACCTCTCTCTCTCTCTCTCTCTCTCTCTCTCTCTGTAACTCTGCCTTTCAAATAAATAAGTAAATAAAAAAAAAACTATATATGAAAAAAAAAGACCGAGATATAATATAGGATGGGACAAGGGCATTTTGGAAAATGCTTTAGAGGTTCTTCAATTAAATCTTCAAAGAACTTTACTTACATTTTCAGGGCACCATGGGATCACCAATAAGATTGGATTGCCCCATTCTTCAGTGTTCTAGAACTCTCTGTTTATTAAATGACACTGTCAAAAACATACTTTGCAATTCTCGATAACTTTTTAAGGCCAATTGTGCTCATGTCAGTGACCAAGGTTGAGAGTGATATGCCTTTTTTTTTTTTTTTTAATCTTGTGTACACAGAAGTAGAAGGCCCTGGGGCCACCATGTGGTGCTGCGGGTTGGACCACTATCTGAGATGCTGGCAGCTCATAGCTGAGCACGGGTTTGATTCAAGTCCCAGATTTTCGGCTTCTGATGCAGCTCCCTGGTAATGTGCCTGGGAAAGCAGTGGAAGAGGGCCCGAGTGCTTGGGCCCCTATCAACTATGTGGGAGACCTGGATGGAGTTTCAGACTTCTGGCCTTGGCTTGGCCCAGCCCCAGCCTTTGGGAAGTAAACTAGCAAATGGGAGCCCCCCTCCCCTCTCTCTCTCACACACACACACATACACACTAACCTCGTTGTCACTATGCCTTTCAAATAAAAAAAAAATCTTTTGTAAAAAATGCGCATTTCTCTGTTGGGAAAAAAAGCAAAGTTTATATTCCTCAGTGTACACTAACACAAGCTATATCCTCTCGCTCATATGATATTCATTTATCTAAGACCTATTTGGGGATGGGGAAAACTGGGTAAGGATAATTGCTCCCAAATCAAGATGCTTTTCAGAAGCAACAAGGAAGTTTATTTTTTGTAAAGCAAATTCTTAAGCCCCAACCTCAGAAATTCTAGGGGGTTGATGCTGTGGCGCAGTGGGTTAAAGTCCTGGCCTGAAGCACCAGCATCCCACATGGGCACCAGTTCTAGTCCCAGCTGCTCCTCTTCGATCCAGCTCACTGCTATGGCCCGGGAAAGCAGTAGAAGATGGCCCAAGTCCTTGGGCCCCTGCACCCACGTGGGAGACCCGGAAGAAGCTCCTGGCTCCTGTCTTCAGATTGGCTTGGCTCCAGCCGTTGCAGCCATTTGGGGAGTGAACCAGTGAATGGAAGACCTCTCTCTCTGTCTCTACCTCTTTCTGTAACTCTGTCTTTGTAATAAATAAAATAAATATTTTTAAAAAAAGAAAAAGAAATTCTAAATCTGTAAGGCAACAGGGACCCAAGAGGATCAGTACAGTTGGCTGTCCACATTTGTCGGTTCTGCATCCTTGGGTTTAATCAACTGTGGGCCAAAACATTATTGAAAGAAAAAAAAAATCAAAGACAAACTATGCCTATAATGCATGTATACAGACATTTTCTTCTTGGCATTATTCCCTAAATAAAACAGTATAATAACGATTTATATAGCATATACGTTGTGTTCCGTAGTGTAAGTAACCTAGAGAAGATGTGACACGTACAGAGGATGTGTGTAGGTTATTTGGGAATACTACACCATCCTCTATCAGACACTTGAGCACTGGCAGATTGTGGTATCTGCCAGGTGACATAGTAGCTACCACATACACTATGCGACAACCGTGTATATTTTTTACAGCTCTCCTAGGAGAACTGTGTAGTCCACTAGAATTCCTTAGAGCCTTGCCACTTGGGATGCCTGCAAACCGTATGATATCCAGCCTCCTTGAAGTGCACATCCTGGGAGGCAGCAGATGATGGCTCA